TGTTTTCCTGATCTATTTATGCCACGGATTGGGGGCAAATGTCTATTTTGCCCCCATCCCCCACCAAGCCCCCCAAAACTTCCTGAATGCCTAACAGCAAATCAGCCCAAAATTGTGCATTGCCCAATCTGTGAGGTGTACACAATCATAATGGTAACCGTGTTTTGTCATGTGTAATGTCTCCATGATGTATGCCCCGTGCCGAAGCCGTGCACATGGCCCAGTTCACACGCTGTCTGGCCTTCTCGAGCTTCCTGACGTCACCGCCTCCTGGCCACCGAAGGCGTGGAATTATGGCCGACCAAGCGATGTGAACCCGGGACCATGGCTGCCAGATCTCAAAATGTTGGCACGGGCTTGTAGATACAGGGCCCTGCCGCTAAGCAGGCCCAGATCATTACCTCCGATATGGAGCACCGGCCTAACGAAGGCCCCGAACACCCTTCCACTCGACCAATGCAGTGGAAGCGCACCCAGACGCTGGCCAAAGGACGAGTTCCCGGCGTATCTCTCCGCCCAGTGGACATAATTATGCCCACAACAAGGATTCTCCATCTATGCACCAGCCTGGCAGTCCCTGCAAAAATAAACAACAAACAAACAAACGCCGGGCGAGCCTATCGCCAGTAAGTGTCCTATTATCCCCCAGCCCATTGATTCCGGGATCACATCCGATTACATGGATCTCCAATTAGAGGATAATGTGGGAAACTGGGGACCCAACATATGAATATGCAAACCCACTGAAAACCTTCCCAAAGGTAATTAACTGCCCCCTTCTGGGTACTGAACTAGCCAAACCTTCAGCTGATTTAACCTAATTGAGCTGGGGCCCTTGTGAAACTGCGGCCTGACCTGAAGGTTTCTTAACGAGTTGGGTGCCCCTATCATTACCTCTCGCGGCCTTCCCCTTGGGGCAATTACGGGATGGATGGGACCCATAACAAATAGAGCACGAGTGCGAGTATCGACAGTCCTTCCGTGAACAGGCTCCCTGAGCCACAAATTCCCAGCATAAAGGCTTTTGGCCCTGGGACTGCAGCTGGGGAGCCCCCTGCCGAGAGGGCTGTCCCGCTGTGTTCTGAATAGTGTGCCCACTGTCCGCCTTCAATGCAGAGGAAGCCCTGGATGGATTCATTACTTCAATCCAAATTT